AATTATAAGGCAAAAAAATGTGACATTTCGTCTACCAAGACGTAAAAGGGATTTTCAAATGTAGTTGATTTGATGCGAATAATTAAATTTTTGTTTGCGAGGGATTACATAAAATGAGGAGAGACAGAAAAGTGACTGAAAGTAATTTTTAAAAGTACGATTTTTTGTATAGTAACTTATGGTACTTTACTTCATAAAATTTTCAAACCAAAAATGGCAAAAAATCACGGTTTCTCGCGCTCTTTTGATCACAAAACACGAGGAATTTGCAGAACAAAAGCTATAAAAACTTCTAATTTTTAAAAGTCCATCCAGACAAAACGCACTCTCCAAATTTCATCGAAATACATGCCTTGACTATTCGCTTCTAAGTCTCAAAAAGTTCGCCTCTCAAGCGGTTTTGTAGTTTAGCATTGTTTACTCAGCAGTTCCTCCAGGTCACAGCCTCTTCCTGAGGTACGTTTTCTTGCAATCATGCCCTTTTCCCAGCGGAGCACAGATCAGCGGGAACAAGTCTTTCTATCAGTTTGTTTGCCGGCCCTCTACGCAACAGTCCGCTGAGCAGGTCTTGGTCCGGTTGAACTTCTTAATTCGCAAATTCCTCGAACATTTCCATTCTTGCAACGCGCTCTTATCACGGGCGAGGAAGAGAGGCCGAAAATACCGAATCGGAAACAAAGTCACCGCGCTTAAAGGGAGTGCTCCGCGAAGTGTTTGCGGTCAGAAACGTTGCCGGTTTGCAGCCGTTGCGTAAGAGTTGAGGAGAGCAATGGTGAGTGAGTGTGACCTTGTTCCATTTGTTGCGCGGCGGTGGACTACGGTAGGCGTAATTAAAAGTTCGAAGACTCAGGTTCTACGTAAACCCCGGGATTTCGAATCGCAGCCCTTTTTTCGAATTCAATCCAAAGATCTGTTCTTCGGAGTGTGGTCGTGTTCGAATGCGTAGATCTTGATGAAGCTGAGTCCAAATTTTGATTAAGATTTTTCAAGTCGCATGCGAGATTGTTAGCCAGCGCTTTGTCGAAAGAAAATTGATTTTTAACTAGGGAAGTACCCCAAGTGCGATGCTCAGATTTTCTTTAGATTTTGCACACACTTCGGGCGTAGACTAAATATCAATTCCTCAAAGTTTTAGCTCGCGCTTTGAAGACCAAGCCGAAATATTCAACGATCTTTGCGGCCGAGAGAGCACGCTAAATGCGGAGAGCGGTCAGAGAGAAAAACACTTTTTGGCCATAACTTTGCTAGTTTCGTGCGGAAAAAAATCATTTTTTGTGGAAACATTGCCCTCTATGGTAGAAATAGGCATGAAACTTTTTGTGCCAAAATTCGAAAAAAAATCTCAAATTTTCGCCAACTTTCGACCTAAAAATCTCGGTTGTTTTTGCAAAGCGCAAGCTAAGATTCTCGCATATATTTTTTAAAAAAATTATTCTAAATTTGTGCCAAGTTTCATCAAAATCTGAGCGTTGTACTTTGAGTGCTTACCTTGTAAGCCAAAAGTCTGGCTAAACGAACGTTTTTCTGTCTGAGCAGCTCTCCGAGACTTCCATAAGTTCTCGTTGTACATATCTGTCGATAAAACGTGAGTTTAAACAAGATCTTGCCATATTTCTTTTTACATTTACATATCTCTCTACTGTAGGCGGCCTACGGTAGGTCTGCGCCTAGGATTTACTTTAGACGTGAAACCTTCCTAACTCGACGGATTAAACCGATAAAATAAATATAATTTTAGTTAAAAGTACATGGGGATAATCCTCGAAATTCTACAATTTTCTCAGCCACATACCACACATTATTTTATTTTCAAGTAGCCGAATACAGGGTCATATTACTTCCTCATGGCTAAGTGGTTGTTTATGGTTGGCTCTAATTTTTCCTCCAAATATTATCGTGAAAACAAATTCAATTCTAATCAAAATATTTTTTTTGCAATCTCCGAAAATTTCGTGACAACATACCGCCGTCTTTTCGATCAAACATCACCATCTTCTCACTGTGACAAAAGGCTAACGCAAAGGCTACGTGCCACAAGTTTTATAGAAAATTCATTTGTGTAAAGGTTGCCTCCCAAGAGCATTCTCCTCAGGCATTATAGCAAAAAACAGAATGAATAACTCTTCTTTTTGTTTTCGGTTAATCCTTGGGAGATTACCCTGGAAAACTTCTTTCGGAGCATGGCACGTCAAACTGAGATAAGCCAAAACAGTCCAGTGAATGAATTGGCCATTTCCCAAGAAAAGACGCGAAAAAACGTTTTGTCGCGGAAGAAATGGGGAATTTTTGGGGGCGAGAGAGTACGTTTTTGCGTGTCTTTTTTCTCTCTTTCTCTGCGAAATCAAGACAAAGTGTAAAAAACCGATAGCGAAGGGTCTATTCCGGTCACCGGACTCCCCAGTTTGATGTGCATGGGCTAGAACTTGAAAAACTTACAAGAAAAGCGTTCCAAATACGATGAAACATGTGTTTTTGGATTTAATTTTTTGCTGACAGGGGAAGTACTCCAAGTGCGACGCTCAGATTTTCTTTAAATTTTGCACACACGTCGGTCATGAACTAAATATCAATTCCTGAAAGTTTTAGCTCGCGCTTTGCGGGCGCCGCCGAGATATCGAACGATTTTTGCCGCCGAGAGAGAACGCTAAACTTGGAGAGCGGTCAGAGAGAAAACATCTTTTTGGCCATAACTTTGGCAGTTTCGTGCGGAAAAATTTGATTTTTTGTAGAAACATTATCCTTTACGGTAGAAATAGGCATGGAATTTTTCGTGCCGAAATTCGGCAAAAAGTCCAAAATTTTTGCCGACTTTCGATCTAAAAATCTCGATTGTTTCTGCAAAGGGCGAGCTAGGATTCTCTTACATACCTTAGAAAAAATTATTCTAAATTTGTGCCAAGTTTCATCAAAATCTGAGCGTCGCACTTGGAGTACGTCCCCTGTGAGATCATGGCACATTTCAATTTTTGAAAATTTTAGATTTTGTAAGGCAGCCAGGATTTTCAGCACGACGGGCAGAGAAAAAAAGTGTTTTTTGTCATAACTCGGCTATTTCCGTGCAGAAAAATTAGATTAAGATTTATCGTATGTTCTATTTTAAACCCAATATTTCACAAGTCACGATGACATATAACTTTTTTTATTTTTTTTTTATTATTTTTATTTTTTTCAATTATCCAAAGTTCCATCAAAAACAGCACTTTGCGTTCTAATATCCCCTCTCTAAAGAAAATTCCAAAATATTAAAATTCAATGGTTTCGGATGTTACACTCGAGATTGTAGGGCTTGTTTCAAAGCTCACGTGCCATCCGATTCGACACGCTATTAATCGCACGTTTGTTGTGGGAAATGTTTGCTTCTCATTCTTCCGGGCGGGTTCGGAGAACACATTGAATGTAATTACGCAAACATGTACTCTTGGGCGGGTTCGCTTGGACCCGACAAGATTTGAGCACTAGAAGCCGAGGAAAGGGTACGGCCCCTCTCGTTGCATGTGCTTTGCCGCTGAACGGAAGCGGGTTTTGGTTCCGTTGTACTCTGTAATTTAAAGAAGAAACCCTTCAGTTTCTAACGGATTTATTTTTTTTTGGAAAATTTTTTGAAGGATTGGATTTTTGATGACTAAAATTTTGCTTGTAGCTTACTGTATTTCAAGTTATAATATGAGGCAAAAATGGGGCTCGATCAAGATATACATTTTACCCAATTTTTGTGTCATAATGACCGATTTTTTGGAGATTTCTCGAAATTATAAAACCGCGTTATGCAGAATTAAAAAAAATGATTTGCCGATTTGGATGACACTGCATTTATCACAAAATTTTATATACATATGTGAATTTTTTACGTTTTTCAGACGAATTTTTTTCAAAAAATTCAAATTTTTGCATTCTCAAAATTCTGCAATCTGCAAAAAAAATTCTCTCCCAAAATAAAATTTTTTGTTCTTCAAGATCCTCTATTGACTCCGTAATGACGTCAGACGACACTCAAAAAAAGAGATTAGATGCATCTGAGGGAGCTTGTTTTGGATCCATGTGCACCCTTTGCACCCATTCTTTTCATTAATTTTTTGCTCCATTCTTCTTCCAAAAAAACACGTTCGAGGATGAGAATGGATAAGTGCAGCTGGCCACCTGATAAAAAGCGATTAATCCGGCCAGAAATAGTTTCGAAATTTTTTTTCGGCCGATCCGAACAAAAAACGACATTGTTTTAGCGTTCGGCCGTGTTATTTTCGACTTCTTCTCTCTTGTTTGCTCTTTTCCCTGCAATAATTTGCACTCTTCGTTCTCCCATACGTCGCAGCAAAAGGTCCTTGGAATTTTCCGCGACTCTGCACTGTGCACGAACCCGAAAAATCATTTTGCACCGTGCATCCGGCCCGAAAAGCGCTTTTGCACAGTGCAATTTTGTTGTTTTTGCCTGTTTGTCGCGCGCGATTCCCATTTTTCGCAGCGACAAATCAACGTGTGACGGGATTTGGGGGTTGCAGAAAATTCCAAAGACTTTTTGCCGCGGCCTAACCGTTCCAGAAAGTGCGTAGACTTTTCGTCGCAAATTCTCCGCACTGTGCATTTGACCCTTTGCACCGTGCACTGTGCAAAAAAAGGAGAAAAATGCACTGTGCGCCGCGATTTTTTGCCTTTGTAACCGCATTTTTTTCGAAATCCGGCAAAAAATTCGTTTTTTCGCCGGTTTTCGCGTTCTGGCCTAATTATTTCGAGTATTTCGAGTGCACTATTATAGCCCGTTCTGTCCGTGTTTGTTTTATTTCCGCGTGACGACTTCATTTCGCACCATTTTTTCAGTTTTAAACCTTCCAGAAGATCGGATTTGTTGAAGGACTCAAAAATTTGTTGGAACTCGACGAAGATCGTCTAAATCTCGCTCTAACCCTCGTTTTATCCTCGGAATACCTCTCACACATAGTGGTCCCATGATATTCGCGCATTTACTGCGCTTTTCAACATGCAGAGTGATCGTTTTTATATTATCCATGATAAAGGTCGGAGAGGCGGCAAAAATCCTCGTCTACAGTCCCACAATCAGCAAGAGCCACATGCAAATGAATTCGCGGATAGCTGACGCCCTTGCGAGAGATGGGCATAACGTGGTGAGTTGGGTTTTTTTTACTTTTTCTTATTTTAGGTACCTTTGAAGTATAAGATGAATTTTATGTTAGAAAAGTGCGGCAGCCTTTTGAAAGAAGAGAATGTTATAAAAGAACAAGTGTTATTTTCTTTTCGATCTTTGATTCGAAACATTTGACATAAAAATAGCGTTTTTTGGATGAAGTATAAACTATCCGGAACACTATAATTTTTCACCGATTTTAGACAATTCTTGATGTCGAATACATGGTCAAACCTCAAGATGTGAACTACACAAAATTAGCGAATAGAAAAATCATAAATCTCGAAAATATGGACGATTTATCAATAGTAGACATGAAGAAGATAACCCAGTCCTCATTTGAGCCCATTGATGCGGTAAAACATTACGACTTTATTGTGCAATACGAAAAGAAGTTCCACGAATATTGTGTGAGTAAGTGGAGTTGTTTTTTGCTTTCATTTCTTTTATTTTTTGTGTAAAACAATATAATTTTGAACTAATTTTTAGAGCACGTGAAAAGCGGCTTGGTACATGAGTACATCAAGAAAAACGAGTTTGATTTGGTAATTAACGAACATGTGGATTACTGCGGAACAGCGATGAGTTACATTTCGGGGATCAGGACGAATATTCTTTTGTCCACGTAGGTACCTAAATTAATATTTATTTTTTGGTTTTGAAATTTAGATGCCCACTATTTGAGCATACGGCATCGTTGATTGGGGTTCCAACGCCAGTCAGTTACGTTCCAAGCTTCAGTTATATGCAGATTGGTGACAAATTGACCTTCAATCAGCGGGTGGATAACATAATCGCATATATTTCAAGTTATTTTGGGTTGCGTCAGGGGTCAATATTGGTGAACAAAGCCTTTAAAGACCATTTCGGGTGAGTTCAAACTGTTTTGTAGAGATTTTCATCTTTTTTTCACAATTTTTGTCATGTGTAATATAAATTTTTTTTGCGTCATTTTTTATTTTAAATCTTGTTTTTAGACCCAAATACAATGTGGATGTTGATGACATTGTCGCGGACTCTCCATTGACTCTAATTTACGCCGACGAATTTATCGATTTCCCTCGGCCCACCTTGCCGAACATGGTGTATATCGGAGCGATGGGACTGCTGGATGGCAATGGAAATCAGGTCAATGAAAAGTTTGATGAGCTCCTAAGCCCTGGAGCTAAAGGTAGGCGAAGATTTGAGGGTTGATTTGGTGTTTAGATATCATTTATTTCTCTTTGGGATCAATCACAACAACAAAATATTTGCCCGAAGCCTTCACGGCGAACATCATCAAGGCCATGGAATCGTTGCCGCAGTTTCAATTCATCTACAAAATCGACCCTGGCGACGAAAAATCGAAGAGTATGGCGAAGAAAAATTCGAACATTTTCTTCACTCATTGGGCTCCGCAGACGAAAATTTTGGAGAGCCCGAAAACGAAATTATTCGTCTCACATGGCGGATACAACTCGATCATTGAGTCAGCGTACTATGGAGTACCCACTCTGGTCATGGGGTCGCACATCGACCAACATCGGAATGGAAAATTGGCCGAGAGAAACGGCTGGGGGTCCACGGTGGACAAGGTGGAAGTGATGAAGGAAAATGGTCATGAGGTGTTCAGAAAGGCGATGTTGACGGTGATCCATGAAGAACGGTGAGAATTGAGGGGTCTGGAGGCTGAATAGAGGGGATTTTTAGTGGAAATTCTTTTTGTTATATCAGATTTTGGATTATATTATTCATGAGTAGCTGATGTCAAAAAAAGATTAAAAGAATGATAATGCTTTTTGATTTTGAACTTGATATGTAGTTTGTATGAACTGATGAGCTATAAGTGATATTTTGAATGCAAAATTGTCCGATTTTTTACCGGAAATTTTCGGAAAATGACGTTTTTTCGAATTTTCACTTGATCTTGATGACTTTTGAAAAAATTAAGTTTAAAATTTTTTCTAACGAGTTTTAAAGCTGTTATACTTTAATTCTGAACCTATGTTTCTTCAGATTCCGAAATAACGCCACCAGAATCAAAGCCATCATGAAGAACCGACCCCAACTTGCAATCGAACGCCTCACCTCCATGATTAATATGGTGGTGATAGGGAACGGAAGTCTCTACGAACTGCAGCCTCATGGCCGCAAACTGAGCCTCGTTACCTATTACAACCTTGACATAATCTTTGTGGCAGTAATAACACTGAGTTTTGTGGTCTCTTTTATCTTTTGGTTCATGTATAAGGTCGTCAAAGCGTCATATAAGATTTATTCGTGGAGTAAGCAGCTCAAAATGAAAGCAGAATAATCCAGACTGCTGTTTAGTTACGTTAGAAGCGCTTTTCAAAGTTTTAACTTTCAAGAGCTTATGTTATTACTACAGTGGGGGACCTGTGGCAAAAAACGTACCATTTTGCATCCGGGAAGCATCAAAAATGTGGCAAAATGCTTCCATCTCCAAGTGAAAAAACTCCGATTTCAAAAGCGCACCAGCTCTTTTTGTGAGGAGCCCTTTAAAACGAAGTTTTTTCACTTGGAGAGGGAAGCATTTTGCCACATTTTTGATACTTCCCGGATCCAAAATGGTCCGTTTTTTGCCACTGGATCAGGTCCACCACTGTAATTTTTCCAGCCAAGACTTGTCTTATTCAATATTTTTTTGCATATTATTTATTGCCCACACTAATAACGATCCCATCTCCTCTCATCATCCGGTGTTACCCTTTAACTTTGCCTCATCGAATTTTTAAATTTTACAATTTTTTTCACATTTTTTATATTTTGTCTTAATCCGAAAATCAGGTTATATCATTGCCATAAGCGCCTCATTGCAGTGGCGGCTTTGCTCACTGTAAATATCTTCCGCGTATCCCACCGTATATTTGTTTTTTCGCGGTAGTTTTGTTTGAATTTGAATAAATTCTATTCATTTTGGGAAGTGATGGCAAGTATAAGCTCGGAAATTGAAATTTTTTACAGTGGACCTGATCCAGTGTCAAAAAACGTACCATTTTGCATCCGGGAAGTATCAAAAATGTGGCAAAATGCCTCCCTCTCCAAGTGAAAAAACTCCAATTTCAAAAGTGCTACTTTTGTAAGAAAAAGGAGTTTTTTATTGTGGGAGGTATTTTGCCACATTTTTGAGACTTCCCCAAAATTCTTCCCTCTCCAAGTGAAAAAACTTCGTTTTGAAGGACTTTCCCTAACAAAAAGAGTGGGCGCGCTTTTGAAATCGAAGTTTTTTCAATTGGAAAAGGAGGTATTTTGCCACATTTTTTTATACTTCCCGGATGCAAAATGGTACGTTTTTCGCCAATGGATCAGGTTCCCCACTGTATTATTTTATTTGTAAACAGCAGTGTGTGTGGTATAACAGCAATTACAGATGCAAAAACGAAGAACTATATATAATATTATTTTAGAGACAAAAATTACATATTAGACTATGTATAGGATAAATTACGGCAATCCTAGTCGGCAATTTACATCTAGACGTATTCTCGTTTGGCATTGGGGTTGAGTTCGGACATTCGGCGAAGGTATCTCGTCTCCTCGAAGCTTTTGATCTCCACTTCCGACAACGCTCGCTTATCCTTCACCGGCTCTTTTCGGGGTTGACTGGAAATGTATTTTTACTTATTTATGTTGGAGAATAACGCAAAAAAGAATAAAGAAAGATCCTACAAAGCGACTAGAAGGGTTATATGACAGCGTTTGGAGTAAAAATCAAAGGTCGCAAAAATGGCTTGTTATAAAAAATTAGAAGAATGCCTAAGGCATAGTGCTTCGATTTTCTTAAAACTTGGTATGCATGTCCTATATGGGCTAAAAAAAATCTCTGAAAATTTTCGGGTGACCCTTTGCCGGCACGCCCGAGATATCTGATGATTTTTGTCGACCTGAGGACATGAAAAATGAAGAAACGTCACCAAATTTCGTCGAATTACGGAAGCTTCTAAATTCTCCACAAGTTTAGTACAAAATTTTGGGGTCCTAACAATAAGAGCAAAAGTGGGCAAAAATTAATTTTTTTTCGATTTATTTGGATTGAAATTATAGGGCGCCATTATAAGTTATGCACACAATTTTTCTACAAAAAATAAGCCTATTTTTTGACGACTACTTTTTCTCAAATATGCGTAGAATACTCGTCTTGAGCTGCACCGTGCACAAAACCTCCTTTTTGAGTGATGCAAAATTGGCAAAAAACGTATCATTTTGTATCCAGGAAGTATAAAGAATGTGGCAAAATACCTCCCTCTTAAAAAAACTCAGATTTCAAAAGCGCCCACTTTTTTTGAGGAACCCTTCAAAACGAGGTTTTTTTAGTTGGAGAGGCATTTTGCCACATTTTTGATACTTCCCAGATGCAAAATGGTACGTTTTTTGCCATTAGATCAGGTCTCCACTGTAGACAGAAAAACTTTATAAATTTCTTTCTAAAAAGACAATTTCCTGGCTAACAAAGAAAATTTGTTTACACAAATCCGTCGGCTATTATTCGTAAAGTTTCCTGTCTTTTTGCACCGATAAACAAACGCCCCACAAGCCCAGGAAAACTCACTATCTCGACGGCCGTAAGTCAAATGCCATCCACACTCCGAAAACGGCCAGCGCCACGAACAGAACGCCAATTGAAAAGAACAGCATCAACACTCGGATGTGGTAGCTGTTGCAACAGTTTGTGTCCTTACATTCCCAGGCGAATTTGCCGGGGCAAAGCTCGCCGCTGTCCTCGTCGGTCATTGCTGGAATTCGGAGGGATTAGTTGGAGTTGGGAGATTGATGCGGTTGGCAAAAGAGCGAAAAAAATGATAACAAAGAGGGTCAAAAAATAGCGATCAGGCTCTGAAACTTATAAGGGAAGTACCCCAAGTGCGACGCTCAGTTTTTGATGAAACTTGGCACAAATTTAGAATACTTTTTTGTAAGATATATGCGAGATTCCTAGCTTGCGCTTTGCAGAAACAACCGAAATTTTTAGATCGAAATTCGGCCAAAATTCAGGAGTTTTTGCCGAATTTCGGCACGAAAAGTTTGATGCTTATTTCTACCGTAAAGGATAATGTTTCTACAAAAAATCAAAATGTTCCACACGAAACTGTCAAAGTTATGGCCAAAAAGCGTTTTTCTCTCTGACCGCTCTCCACGTTTAGCGTGCTCTCTCGGCGGCAAAAATCGTTCGATATCTCGGCGGCGCCCGCAAAGCGCGAGCTAAAACTTTCAGGAATTGATAGTTAGTCCATACCCGATGTGTGTGCAAAATTTAAAGACAATCTGAGCGTCGCACTCGGGGTACTGAAAAAGCGTAGTACGAGCCGAAAAAGGCTCCATTCTAGAACAATTATTCAAGACGATGAACTGCACATTTCGAAGAGAGTAACTCGAAAATCCTGAAAGATATTGAATTTCCCACAATTTTGGACCTAAAAATCTTAGTGGTTCCTGCAAATCGCGAATTAAAAACCTTTGTGCCTTGAAAAATTCTCATCCTAATTCGCGTCAAATGTCATCAAAATTAATTCTTCGTGCCTTGAGTTCTCAATAAGAGTAAAGTGAATTTTTCGCCAAAGCAAATCAATAAAAATTTATTTTTCAAAAACTGTAATACACTGTGACTAACTACATATAAAAGATTCCGAAATCGGTGAAGACAAGAAATGGCAAAATGGGGTTGTTTTTTTTTGGCCGCCGCAAAGCCGAACCCAGTTTAAAGGCACTGAAAAATGAATATCGCCTTCCTTTTTTTTTAATTTCTTTCAATTTGTCCGGCTTTGTGTGGCCGGAAGGGATGGGACATTGAACTTGAGTCCATGGCGAGAGATGGGTTTGAGACATGCAATGGCAAACATGGAAATACATTGCTTTTGGGGAGGTTAATTTACAAGGGAAGTACGTCCAAGTGCGACGCTCAGACTTGCTTTGAATTTTTGACATACGTTTACTGTGGGCTACATATCAACTCCTGAAGCGCTTTGCAGAGACAGCCGAGATATTCAACGATTTTTGAGGGCCGAGAGAGTACGCGAAACGCGGAGAGCGGTCAAGAGAAGCATTTTTTGACCGTATCTTTGGCAGTTATTTTTCGTGAGGAAAAAATAGTTTGTGTTTGATGGAAACACTACGGTAGAAATAGGTACGAAACTTTTAATGACAAAATTTGCAAAAAAGTGGCACGTTTTTTCCGACTTTCGGCTAAAAAAATCTCGGTCGTTTCTGATAAACACAAGCTAACAGTCTCATATTATATAATATATGCCTTAAAAAAGCTTAAGAAAGCCCAACACTAGAGCCAAGTTTCATCAAAATCTGAGCGTCGCACTTTGCGTGCATCCCCTGTTAGTGGATAACACTTATCCTTCTGACACATTACGTATTTGCTGAGGTTTTTGGAGATCAACAAGTTGTGAGACGACGTCAGAGAACATGTGACTCCAAGAGGAGTGGACGGCAGATTTTGTGAAAAAAATTGAGAAAAATGGAGCCCAAGAGGGTTGCCAAAAACAAAGTAAAAAATTGAGCTTTTTTCACAAAGCCATTGGAAATGGATGGAATTGAAAATGAAATTAGGTTCCAAGATGGGTTGAAGATTTTTAGGTTGAAATTTGCAGAAATCTCAGAGATTTTTAGGCCGAGAAGAATGTAGAAGTCTCGGCGGGTGAAGCCTAAAGAAAGGTTGTAGAAGGGCCTACGGGGACTGGCAAAGTCGCTGGATGGTCGGCGGACGCTCGGCGAAGGCTCGCCGGAGGCTTAAAGAAGACTTACAATATGTCCGCTTTTTCTAATTTCAGCTATTATATTCGTAGTTTCTTATGCTGACAGGGGAAGTACTCCAAATGCGACGCTTAGATTTTCTTTAAATTTTGCACACACGTCGGGTATGGACTAAATATCAATCCCTGAAAGTTTTAGCTCGCGCTTTGCGTGCGCCACCGAGATATCGAACAATTTCTGCAGCCGAGAGGGCACGCTAAACGTTGAGAGCGGTCAGAGAGAAAACACCTTTTTAGCCATAACTTTGGCAGTTTCGTGCGGAAAAATTTGATTTTTTGTAGAAACATTATCCTTTACGGTTGAAATAGGCATGAAACTTTTCGTGCCGAAATTCATCAAAAAGTCCTAAATTTTCGCCAACTTTCGATCTAAAAATTCCGGTTGTTTCTGCAAAGCGCGAGCTAGGATTCTCGCATATATCTTAGAAAAAATTATTCTAAATTTGTGCCAAGTTTCATCAAAATCTGAGCGTTGAACTTGGGGTCTTCCCCTATAAACGTAAACTAAAAGTATTACCAAAGACTTTAAACTTGATATACCAGAAACTGTGGTGGTGGTTTCCCAAACGTGACCTATTCAATGACCCGTGACTTTTATCTAGATGTTATTGATTTGAGTACATGTAAAACACCTCAAAATGGGCGAGAAGCTTGGACCCTAGGACCCAATCAATCTTATTATTTCTACTAACAAAGCCTTCTCCTAGCCTCCTCCATGCATAACAAAATAGTAAATATGTATTATGAGTAACCCAATTATCGAAAAATCCCAAAATTAAAGATTTTGTAAAATAGCTTTTTTCCAAAATTTAATTTCAGCTTATATTATATTAAAAATTCCGCCTTTTCATTGCCCGCAGAACACCCAGAGAAAGTCAAAAACAATTTAAAAATGTCAAGTTCAGTGGCCGCTTCGAAGCCATTCCGGTTGTCAAACCCGAGATTTGATGGGAATAAGAAGAAGGGAGCTCTATTACCCTTGGCAGAAAAGATAAACAATAGTCAAGCTGTTAGGCTGATAGATCATTATCAGTTTAGAGACCAGTAAAGTGAAAATTGAAAAATAAGGAAACGAAATTATTTTATAAGCTACCGTAGGAATTCGATACTTTCCAAAGTTCAGCTATAAAAAATTCACTTACGGGGTGGGGCATCAAACAAAATGGGGTTGTCTGAGGATTCAGGGAAAAAAAGAATTTTAAGATTTGGCCAAAAACTAAAGAAGTTATAGCCAATTCAAATCGGGCCACAAAGATGCCCCACCCTGTATTAAAACTTCTTGATTCACAGGGGAAGTACCCCAAGTGTGACGCTCAGATTGTCTTTAAATTTTGCACACACGTCGGGTATGGACTAAATCCTGAAAGTTTTAGCTCGCGCTTTGCGGGCGCCGCCGAGATATCGAACAATTTTTGCCGCCGAGAGAGCACACTAAACGTGGAGAGCGGCCAGAGAGAAAAACACTTTTTGTCCGTAACTTTACTTGTTTCGTGCGGAAAAAATTGATTTTTTGTGGAAAAATTACCCTTTATGGTAGAAATAAGTACGAAACTTTTCGTCCCGAAATTCGGCAAAAATTGTCAAATTATAGCCAACTTTTGATCTAAAAATCTCGGTTGTTTCTGCAAAGCGCGAGCTAGGATTCTCGCATATTTTTTAGAAAAAATTATTCTAAATTTGTGCCAAGTTTCATCAAAACCTGAGCGTAGCACTTGGGGTACTTCGCCTGTCAGTATCACCAAAAAAATTATGGAGCAAGTTTGAGGCCAAAAATCATCAAAAAATAAAGGCCTTGCGCTGTAGACGTAAATCATTTATTTATGTTTGCCCACTGTCGGATATGGTTCAGACAGCGGGACAATGCTCCCCGCAAGACGGGCATCCGAATGCCCTGCATTCAAAACAATTCCGTTCCATTTTATTCTTGACAATCCTCATGAGAAAATGCCGAGCGAAAAAGTTTTTCGTTTTACTTTCCGCGAATATTAAATGGAGTATAAAAATATACTCGAAGCGCCTGAAGGAACGGCGCCACCAGCGAATGTTTACACGCCGAAGCCGCTCGCGGATAAACATAAATAATGCGGAGGAGGGGCTCGGGGATTCTGGCACATCCGTTCTGCTGGACATGGGGTTGGATATCAAACTTTTTTTTGGTATTCAGATTTTATGGGGATTACAAATTTGAAGGAGGTAGAAGAAGGTCGGTACGGCAAATTTGGATGTGGACAAAAATCACCATTAGTTCTTTGATGCTCAAATTTTCAAAGCTATTCAAAGTTTTTACAGAAACTGTTGAAATTCTTTGAAAATGAGCGAAGGTACGAGTCTGTGTTGGATTTTTAGCCAGGCAATTATAAGCTTTATCAAGCGGCACACAATCTGTTTTTGTCTCCGACGCCTTGGGGACAAAACAGAGGCGTAGCTGACCAAAAATTCCGGGGAGGAAAGGTGGCATGGGTGAGTCATCATGTCAAAAATCATAAAATTTCCTTGATCCCTTGATCCCCTCCCCCCTTTCCATTTTTCCTTACCTCGGCCTGGGGGGGGGTACCTCCTCAACCGTCTAGCTACGCCCCAGGAACAGAACCGGAGAATAAGCGAGGACAGAAAACAATCTTACGGGTTTTTTTCGAGCCCAGCACTCCACTTTTCCATAAAAAATCGCTGAAACACGTATAAAAAAGCCACTTCATAGGGGTTCTGGAAAACATCAATTTCCATTCAAAAGATGCCCAAAAAGTTCCTTGTCCGGAAAAACAGGTCGGGTTAGTCGGGTTAATTTCCTGTGTGCATTTTCATTGCTCGAAGATCGAGAAGTTTTTTCGAAACACCAAACAAGAATCCACTGCCCATTTCTCTGTCAGAACTGAGAAATGGGCAGTGAAATATACTCACATATCATATGCATTGTGCACTATATAACCCCATCTTCTTGAATGACAACAATGACATTATTATAAGGAATTTGAGAGAAGTCATCAGAAATATACAGGGTGTACCAAATTCGGTGCCCGATTTGAATTGGCTATAACTTCTTTCATTTTGGGCCAAATTTAAAAATTTTTTTCCCCAGAATCCCCAGACAACCCCATTTTGTCTGATACCAAATATGTTATACATAGGTAAGTGTCATCTACAGCTATTGGATTTATTCTTGAAGTTCATTTTTTTGGTCGTTTTTCGGTTGTTTTTTCGGCCTTTCCCGGTGTGTTCGAAAATGGAGTACGGTGTGGAAGAAAAAGCTTGGTCTGTGGTTTGGTATGGCAAATGTTCAAAGGGAATACCGGATGAAATACGGACGTAAGGCCCATCCCAGATCGCAAGACAATTCGGCGTTGGTGGAATAAGTTCCTTGAGACTGGCAGCGTTAACAGGAAACAAAAAAAAAGCAGAAAAGATGGGTGCGAACGTATCTGAAAATGGAAGAAGTTTTGTCAAACATATGAGTATTGATCATACTCATATTCGCATATGAGTACACGAAGTTTGGCCAGAACCGAGGGAATGCCTTCACCAAGGACCATTCGACGAACTCTGGAGGTTGATCTTCACTTTTTGTTCTTATTCTCATCGTCGATTTTCAGGAGAGGAAATTCCACCGTATTTTTCTTCCGCACCGTACTCCATTTTCGGACACACCGGGAAAGACCGAAAAAACAACCGAAAAACGACCGAAAAAATGAACTCCAAGAATAAATCCAATAGCTGTAGATGACACTTACCTATGTATAACATATTTGGTATCAGACAAAATGGGGTTGTCTGGGGATTCTAAGGAAAAAAAATTTTTTTAATTTGGCCCAAAATGAAAGAAGTTATAGCCAATTCAAATCGGGCACCGAATTTGGTACACCCTGTAAATGGGAGGCCAAGAAGTGAGCGATCTTTACCGACGTGAGAATGGGCGAAATGCGGAGAGTGGTCAGACGAAAGGCTGCTTTTTGCTATACGTACAATGGAACAATGCGTTAGGGTATTTTTTAAGCACGCGTAGGATAAGCGTAGTACAATTAACAGTGACGGACCTGATTCAGTGGCAAAAAACGTAGAATTTTGGATCCGGGAAGTATAAAAAATGTAGCAAAATGCCTCCCTCTCCAAGCGAAAAAACATCGTTTTGAAGGGTTCCCTCAGTTTTTTCACTTGAAGAGGGAGGTATTTTTCTACATTTTTTATACTTCCTGGATGCAAAATTATACGTTTTTTGCTACTGGATCAGGTCCCCCACTGTAACAGTGTTTATTAGAATTATATACAACATAGTATCTCAATTACATTTGTCCGATAATTCACACGTAGAGATGGTGTATAGATCGCTATCCAATTGTCATTGTAAGCTCTAGATTTGTCCTTGCCGGACGTAGCTTTGTACTACAGTAATTGATGGTCACTTCTAAGAACAAAGCGACCAAAGAAGCAATCGTCAAAGTCGAGCATATAAGAAGGGCTCCAATATACGGCGTGATTCCTAAACATTGCCTTTTTTCAATACTTTTATTTACACACATTTATACCTCATACTGTTTTACTAGCTTCAAGTTCTGAATGTAAGTGCTTACTCATTGCATCGCCAATTTTAAAGTCATCACACTTTGTATTTTCATGGTTTCCTCTTGCCAGATACAGGTCTTTCAGCCTATAGAGATCATGAATATTCTCCTCGATGATTCTGGAGATGTTCTCGAGTTCGGAGAAGTTTTTGCGGAAAATCAAATGCGATTCCAACTCTGGTAATTTGAATTTTAGACGGACAAAATCGCAGTGTGCTTGCATTTCAAACCCGATCATCTCGTCTTCTTGGAAGAAGAGAACCGCTTTCTTGTAGCGCATTTCGTTTAGGGCATCTTGAAATCAAGTAACGTACTTTTCAAGCACTTATTACCTGTCACATGCCCTACTATCCGAACTTTCCGGCCACCTAAAGCATATTTCAGCTCGTCGTATGGTTTCTCATCGCCTTTGGCGATCTTCTCTTCGAACCATGTGCTCCCAGTAACGGCTATTATATCCCTATAGCCATTCTTGATATCACTGATAATCCGATCTCTTTTCACAAACGAATAGTCGCGCTTGGGATGGATGATGGCTGAGAGAAGATACGATGAGAAAATTCCAAAGATAACCACGTGGAAATATGCAAATATGAGTAGCGAGTAATTTCCAGCTCGGAAATGGAATACTATGCGTTTCGATTGGAAGAGCTGGACCTGGATGACTTTCCAGAGAAGCTGAAACAATATGTGTTTGATTACATATCTTGAAATTACTTGTAGCGCCGTCTCTTGGTGTCTACGGCCTGCTCTTTCTTCCACATGCCGCACAATGATGCAAAATCCACATTGCAGAAGCATAACAAACGCAATCATTTGCCAAAGCGACAAGTCGTACATTTGGAACAAACTCCATCGAATAGTAGGGTCGTCAAAGCGAGAGGCATAGAGAAATGATCGGACCTATATTAAGGACCACTGTGTAATTGGTTTTCGCAATTATACGCTGGGTTTTCAGAATTTACCTTGTATGTGTGATAAGAAAAATCCACAAGTTTTTCGCGCTCTGGCGTGTATTGAAATGGAACTGCCATTGTGTCGAACGTCTTGTTTTCGAGTACTTCTTTGTCGGGGAAGATGTTTGATCCGCCGAGTTCCTAAAAAATTACTTGTTCTAACAAGGGAAGTATCCCAAGTGGGACGCTCAGATGTTCTTTAAATTTTGCATATACGTTGGTCATGAACTAAGTATCAATTTCTGAAAGTTTTAGCTCGCGCTTTGCAAGCGCCACCGAGATATTGAACCATCTTTGCGCCGCGAGAGCACGGATAACGCGGAGAGCTGTCAGAGAGAAAAACACTGTTGGAACATAACTTTGCTAGTTTCGTAAGGAAAAAATTGATTTTTTGTGCAAACATTACCTTCTATTGTAGGAATAGGCATGAAACTCTTCGTGCCGAAAAGTCAGCAAAAAGTCCTAAAATTTCGCCGACTTTCGATCTAAAAATCTCGGCTGTTTCCGCAAAGCGCGGGCTAGAATTCTCGCATATGTTTTAGAAAAAAATGCTCTAAATCTGTGCCAGGTTTCATCAAAATCTGAGGTACTTCCACTGTAAGCGTATGGTCGGCACAGCCGTTTATTCAACGCCAATTACCGAGTTAAAAGTCCGTTGATTTCCTTCGCCAATCCTAACAACGTAAGGCAAAATCTGATAGGGTCCGTTCTTAGCGATGATTCCGAATGTCTGAAAGGCTCAGTGCTTTGAGTAATGCCTCCAACGAAGCTCTCTTCTCCCTACCTCGGCCAGCAATCCCGGATAAGCACAATGATTGTTGGAAGAAAGCGAAGGAAACCGATCACAGAGGTTATTTGACCACAAATAGTAATTAGTAAAAAACACTTTAATAGGTCGTAAAGGGTACATATAGAGAAATTAAAACATCCAGGTTGAGGTAGCACAGCTGTGTTGAGGTAAACAAAAGAAAAAAATCTTGGCAAAGATTCAATTTGTACATGTTTCTGTTGTTTAATGGTTTTTTAGTATCAAGTTTCAACGGAGGCAAATTGCACCTTACCCTTGTTTTCATAAAAAACAGCGATAATGTTGTTTGGGCACATTAATTGCCATGGTTCGCAGCTGCAAGGAAACCGGAAGCTTGGAATTTGCATGTAAGAAGGGTATCGGGTAAATTGAATTTTTTTCGCCTACGAGGCTCAACTGCGGGTTTCCGCCCATTTTTTTGAGCCATTGAGCGAAAAAATTTTTTGATCTATGGACGCATGTACAAGAAATTTTCTACACAGTAAACTTCGGCCATGGCCTTAACTCCGATTTTGTTATAGTATCCCCAATAAACAATGGGCGGGGTTTGAAAGTTTTACTAGGAATAAAGTCATCGATCTTGTTTATTTGGTTTGAAAATATTTTTTTACGGGAATGTTATGTTCTCCACTGCATAGATCTTGAAATGTTGCATTAAATTTTTAATCCTTGGCTTTACAAAACATGTACAGTGACGGACCTGATCCCGTGGCAAAAAACGTACCATTTTGCATCTTGGAAGTATCGAAAAATGTAGCAAAATGCCACCCTCCCCAAGTGAAAAAAACTCCGTTTTGAAGGGCGCTTCATTCACAAAAAGATTGGGCACACTTTTGAAATCGGAGTTTTTTTCACTTTGAAAGGGAGGTATTCTGCTACATTTTTTTTGCTACTTCCCGGAGCCCTTCAAAACGAAGTTTTTTCACTTGGACAGGCAGGTATTTCGCCATATTTTTTACTACTTCCCGGGTGAAAATGGTACCTTTTTTGCCACTGGATCAGGTCCACTGTATGTAAGTTTAACGCCCAAATTCGCACACTTCCTTTACATCGGATAAAAATTGGTGAAATAACAATTTGAAGGCATGCAATTTATTCATAATCATCATCAACTTGCTCTTATTTCACAACAGAAATTTGTTGAAACAATCAACACAAAAGTACACAAAAAAGTTTTACCCCGCATTTTTATTACCCTGTCTACTCTACTACTCTTCTTTCGCCTTATCAACCCTAAACGTTAAAATAAAGACCGCCCTTCTGTACAAAACGTACAAAGTGAGGACTGTAAAGGCTATTAGGAAAGCTATCACATCCAAGTTGTTATACTGAATGAAATTGAGATGCCTTCCTTGGAGATCCAAATAGTGATGGATATCGAATTGCGCTCCAAATTCACAATGTCTTACAAATCTCTCATCCGCTGACATTGGCTTCGCCAGCATGACTTTAGCCAGCTCGTTTGCCGTGTTTTGGTAGCTAAAATACAAAGAATCCGTAAAAAAACCGCGATGTAGTTAAAAAATTTGATGATTTTACACTTACTCATCGTTATAGATCACCTTTCTAAACACATCAACAATTTTTTGCTTTGAACTCAAATCCTGTTTCCTCAGGATCTCCGCAACTCCCCGTTCCTTGACTGACTCCGCATTTCTAAACTGATCTCCAAATAATGGGACAACAATCAAAGGAACACCGGCATAGGTCGACTCGGTAACACTGTTCTGGCCGCCGTGGGTCACAAAAGCGAGTGTTTTGTTGTTGGCTAAAACACATTGGAAATTTAGTTAAAGCCTCAAAGTTTCAACGCAACGCTTGTAAATTTTCAAATCTTCGAGGCCCTCTCGAAGTACAGTGGGGCACCTGATCCAGTGGCAAAAAACATACCATTTTGATTCCGGGGGCCAATGCGCTAACTGAAAGTATGCTGAAAGTTAGCTGAAAAATGGTAGGGCAACTCGAAAAACAACGTTTCGCAGCTCGCCGGAGCTAGGTTTCACCTCGTTTTCGGGCTGCGCCCAAGACGTGAGCTGCGCCCGTGCAAGTTCTCCGAGCTGCGCCCTATGATTTAAAGCAAAGTTTCAGATAGAGCATTGGCCCCGGAAGTATCAAATGCGTTGACATGACAGTGGTGGACCTGATCCAGTGACAAAAAACGTACCATTTTGCATCCGGGAAGTATCAAAAATGCGGCAAAATGCTTCCCTCTTCAAGTGAAAAAAACCTCGTTTTGAAGGGCGCGACCTTTCCCTCACAAAAAGAGCGCGCGCGCTTTTGAAATCGGAGTTTTTTCACTTGGAGAGGGAAGCATTTTGCCACATTTTTGATACTTCCCGGAATCAAAATGGTACGTTTTTTGCCACTGGATCAGGTCCCCCACTATAAGCTTGTGCCAAACGTATTAACCAATATTAACAAAAAATCTCACCCAAAATAGCAGGTTGCGGGAGCCATTCCGCCAAAAATACATTACTTGGCAACTCCAATGGTTTATGGTCCTTATCTTCGTACTTTACAACAAAGTTGATTTCCGGAAAGTGTCTAAAAGCTTCGAAAAGGGCTTTGCGAGATTTCATTGGGATGTCCACTGTTCTGGCCAAGGATCCGAATGAGATCAAAACAACTCCTTTTTTGGCGGTGTCGAAAACTTTTTGGTATTCCGCAGGTAATCTTTGTGGTATACTCAATAATTTCTTCATGCCAATCCCTCCAATGTTCACAACTTTGTGCGATATTGGCTTTGGAAAATCGACAAACTCATCAGTATTGATGAAAATGTATCCTCCTTCGGCCATCAGATCCTAAAAAAAAATTCAACTTTGTAATGCCGTATTTTATCAAAAAAAATATACTACCGCGGCGGACCTGATCCAGTGGCAAAAAACGTACCATTTTGCATCCGGGAATTATCAAAAATGTGGCAAAATGCTTCCATCTCCAAGTGAAAAACTCTGATTTCAAAAGCGCGCCCGTTCTTTTTGTGAGGGAAAGGGCGCGCCTTCAAAAAGAAGTTTTTTTACTTGAAGCATTTTGCCACATTTTTGATGCTTTCCGGATGCAAAATGGTACGTTTTTTGCCACTGGATCAGGTCCGTCAATGTATAAAAATTCTTACATAAACAGTTTTGCCCATAGGGTTGAAAATCTCATTGAATCCACTGATATGGCTGCTAATAACATACGGCTCAACGATCACATTGGCAAGGAAATTCCAAACTCGTTGCATGAACGTCATCTTTGAGGCGGATGTCCAGGTGTTCTCTAAAAACTGATGCACTAGATCCTCTATCCAACAAAAACCATCTCGAAAAATTTTTTATAGCAAGCAATTCCGGAGGTGCCAAACGCCAACTTTAGGGCGAAATGAAGCTCCATACAACATACCCTTTCCATAACAAATAAACTTCTTGGTCGCTTGCGATTCGTTGAACAGAGGCTTGACTGTATTCGAACCTCTACCAAAATTGCAAGCCATCAACAAATTTTATTTGTCGGAAAAGGGTATCCTTGTACGGAGGGGGACCTGATCCAGTGGCAAAAAACGTACCATTTTGCATCCAGGAAGGATCAAAAAATGTGGCAAAATACCTCCCTCTTCAAGTGAAAAAACTCAGAATTCAAAAGCGCGCCCGCTCTTTTTGTGAGGAAAAAGGGCGCGCGCCCTTCAAAACGAAGTTTTTTCACTGGAAGAGGGAAGCATTTTGCCACATTTTTGATACATCCGATCAATGGCACGTTTTTTGCCACTGGATCAGGTCCCCCACTGTACGAAGGTTTGTTTTATGCTTAAATTTCCTCGCACGATCACTATGATTTTTTGTTATAGACCCTACGCTGTATGCGTCATCTGTCAAGACAGTTTCTTCATAACTTGGCACCTTACCCGGCACAAAGCTGGTTGGCGTCGGAATTCCAACATATCTCGCGTGAGTCAGATGAATTTGTGTGGAATACACCATTGAATATCGTTTCAAGCCAATTTTATGGAAGATCCCCACTCCACAAGGATCAAAGTACTCGACCAAACCGAAATCAAAGTTCTCGTCGCGTAGTCGCTGCATCAGCGCCTCGTCTTCCAACTGAATTTTACAAGAGCGTGTCGCAACATCACCTAATTGTTTCATCCACTGAAAAGTCGGCGTAAAGAATTTTGATGACATAAAAATTGATTTTTTTCGCTTACAGCTGCGATTTCGGTGACTTCAAAATCTCTCAGCCAGATATTCGTGTTCTGTGCGAATTTTGGAACGTCCATTGAGACTTTATACAACAAGAGGTCAGACTTTCGAGTGAAATTTGCAAATGAAACTTCGTTGACATACGGCATGTATGTAACCTGCAAAAAAAATTGCAAATTGGTAAAATACGGCAAAAACAAGAAACTCGATTTTATAAAAAGCTTGACTGGCAAATTTAACAAGGAAAGTACTTGAATGGGGTATGGAGTTACAGGTCGAGACATACATCAAAAAAATCGCAAAATTTTTCTGATTCAGAATATGTAAAAGTTAGCTGCCTATTTTTGGTCTGTAAGGGTGAAAAATCCTCAGAATTTTTCCCGGAACACCACGCGAATGCCCCTTTTTATATAGGAACTACTAATTAAGGTGTAGTATTAATCAAATTTGATATTGTAAGGCTTGTCAAGACACCACCAAAAAGGCATTTTCGTGGTGTTGCGAGAAGAGTTCTGAGGATTTTTTCACCCTTATAAACCAAAATAAGGCAGCTAATTTTTACATATTCTGAATCAGAAAAAAATTGTGATTATTTTGATATATGCCTCGACCTGTAACTCCACACCCCATAGAAGTACTTTCCTTGTAAAAAAAATTTTTACAAAATCGAAGGATGACATTAACCCTGAAAAATTTTTACTTGTTCCATCAAAAAAAATCGCCTTTGCGGAAAGTGCGTTGCATTTTCAACCTAAAAAAGAACAAAAACACGGCTTACCACTTCATGGCCCGCATTCACCAACAAATCGCCCAATTTATCGACCAGGATCACATGGGACTTGCTGGCGCCCGGATTGTCCGGATTGTACAAAAGAAACTTCAACCCGGAAGCGAACGAGAACTGAATTAATAATGCTGCGAGGGACCGCATCATTGAATAAATTTGATTTTAAACGCGTTTTTGTCCGCGGTGAATAATCTTATCAACGACGATAAATATAAAAATTTTTTCTAATTTACTGATGATAAGAGCTCATCCGGTGGCGGTACAGGGCCTCATGTCTCTTTTTTGAGGTCATTAATCTATTCCGTCGTCCTTTACACCACACTGGGTGATAAAAACTGTGGAATTTTCTTTCAAATGAAGAAGTTTTGCAACCTTTTTTGATAAATTTGTATTTTTTGACCTAGTGTAATATAAACTAAACTATCGTCAAAAATTAAGTCCAAAAAAGTCAAAAAGTCGATAAAATAAATATTTATCGTATAGTAAGGAAATGACTAGACGTATTTCTGTAAGTGAGGATACCAAAATAACAAGTGGAATATAACAATTTTTGAAAAGATGGCGAAAAATTACAACCAAGATACAGCAAGTTTGACTCTTATTTTCAAGAAAATCAAGAGGCCAAACTTGGGGTACCAAACTTGAAAAAATCAAATAAAAAATGAAAAAGAATGACAAAACTCCTATTTTTCCACCAAAAAATAACAAACTAATACTGTAAAGAGCTTGAGGCTACCGTATTCAACATAATACTATTAAAATTACCGGTATTCTTGGGGTTATTACTCATTTCTGGACAAAATTTTGTTTAACATTGGCATTGGGTTGACTGAAAATCTTCGTCGATGTGTTTTGTGGCCACTGCTCGACGCCTCATCCTGTTGTCGAATATTTTGCGAGATATAGGACAAATTTCGGAGACGGAATGCAGTTTCAGCGGCCGAAGAAGGGCGATGTTCGCCGGAATTTGAGTGTTGGAAAATTTGTCGGATCGGGGATTTGCGTTGATCAATGATGTCGCTGAGCTGAAAATAGTCTAATTAGACATTTCTGGACATATCTGAGTCTTTCATTCACAATTTTGGACACAATTGGACATTTGATTACATTGCACTTGACAAAATTTTCAAATTTCTGACCAATTTCCGCTCCTTAAACACAAAACGCTTACCTTCTCGCCAATTTTCCAAGCCTCATCATCCGTTGTTTCAATATTCAGCGTTTTCCAGCTCAACCTTTCATATCCATGGATCAAATCTTTGGGCTGGAACTTTTCAATGCCCTCAGGGTATGGTCTCATCTCTGACTTATCATCTGGCTTAAAAGTCATCGTAGAATGGCTTTCCGTCAATTTCATCGACGAGGATTTCTTCCCCATACTGAATAACGATATTGATGACGACGAAGACGTGAATCCTTTCTTTGAACTCTTCTTGCCCGTGGAAATATTGACCGATTTCAGGTATTCGATATACTGAAGGCACTGCAGTTGTTTGGCGAATAATTCTGGAGGCATGGGGAGCCAGATGATTTTGAGACTTCGCTTGGCTGAAAAAATTTTTACATTATTCTTGACCTCAACATTATACATGATCAAAAACGAATTAATATCCCGACAATTTTCTTACAAGGCGATGTGTGATAATAGTCGATGCCACCAACCAGGTCCCATGAGATTGTGACGCTTTTATGAGGATGAGATTGGGTGGATCTTCGGCGATCTTCTTCCACTGGGATAAGACTCAAACAGTCGTCTCGGAAGGCTGAAAATGAGCGCATTTTACAGTTGAAACGAAATATCGATTTGTCAAACAAAATATGCAACCTCAATCCACCTTTCAAAAATTAAAATTGCCCATGTTATCACAATTACCAAGAGAAAAAAACTATTTTTTATATTACACTACCCTCAATAAAATTTTTTTTTAAATTCCAGATAGCACAAGGTACAGTGGGTGACCTGATCCATTGGCAAAAAATGTACCATTTTACATCCGGGAAGCATCAAAAATGTGGCAAAATGCTTCCCTCTCCAAGTGAAGAAACTTTGTTTTGAAGGACTCCTCACAAAAAGAGCGGGCGCGCTTTTGAAATCAGAGTTTTTTTCACTTGGAGAGGGAAGCATTTTGCCACATTTTTGATACTTCCCGGATGCAAAACGGTACGTTTCCTGCCACTGGATCAGGTCCCCCACTGTATAGACTCCCATAAAAACTCACTCAATTTCGCGGTCCACTTGGGTTTCAGCCGATGTAATCGTTCCACAAAGAAAGTCTCCAAAACATTTCCCTGGCCAAGACTGGCTGTTTGCCCATACAGAGAGTTACTATTACTGGTCGATGCTTGATTCGGCTCCATCTCATCGGACTGACTTCTACTTTTGGAGGCATTATGAAAGATTGGTTGAGCTCTGGTCTCCACGTAAAGCGGTTTGTCCGAATAGAAATCGAAGTTGAAGTCGGCCGACTGTTGAGAGTACTGGGAATTCCTGTTCTTCTCCGTGAGCTTGATGTCGAACGCGCCTCGGCCACTATTTTGGCGAATGATTACAAAAGTCCTGGAGCCGGCCGAAGCCACCGATGCCGATTCGTTCAGAGCTTTGTCGGGGACCTCGTAGAGCTCGATTCGGTAGTTGAGCACTGAAAAAAAAGATACAGTGGGGGACCTGATCCAGTGGCAAAAAAACGTACCATTTTGCATTCGGAAAGTATCAAAAAATATAGCAAAATACCTCCCTCCTCAAGTGAAAAAACTCCGATTTCAAAAGCGCGCCCGCTCTTTTTGTGAGGAGCCCTTCAAAACGAAGTTTTTCCACTTGGAGAATGAAGCATTTTGCCACATTTTTGATGCTTCCTGGATGCAAAATGGTACGTTTTTTGCTACTGGACACGTCACTGTAAATCATCAAAATTTTTGGAAGTTACCATTTCCCCAAAAATTATATTAATTTGGCCATCAAAACCCAAGGTTTCCCAAAATCGCAAAATTTCTGTTCAAGTTCAATTATGCAGATTTCGCCCGTAAGAAGAAAAGAGCAGAAAAGTCATTTTTCGCTCAAAACGCAAGAAATTGGTCGAGTGAATTGGTCGTCATTCTGTAGACATCAATCAACCAATTCGATTGACGATGGCGGTAAGTCTTCTCTACTGGTTATCCAATGCTGAGCGCTTTTTTGATCCAGGAGAAAGCAATGGAGGCATATGTCTGCTGGATGCATTTTGAAGCCTTTTTGGCACTAAATCCCTTTCCCAAATTCTACAGTGACAGACCCGATCCAGTGGCAAAAAACGTACCATTTTGCATCCGGGAAGCATCAAAAATGTGGCAAAATTCTTGCCCCTCCAAGTGAAAAAACTCTGTTTTGAAGGGTTTTCCTCACAAAAAGCGCTTTTGAAATCTGAGTTTTTTTTCACTTGGAGAGCGATGTATTTTGCTGCATGTTCGATACTTCCCGGATGCAAAATGGTACTTTTTTTGCCACTGGATCGGGTCCGTCACTGTAGAATTTGGGAAAAGGGATGTAGTGCCCAAAGGCTTCAAAATGCATCCTGGAGACATTAAATGCCTCAAAATGCTTTCTCCTGGATCAAAAAAGCGCCGCGTACGTTTTTTGCCACTGGTTCAGATCCCCCACTGAATCTCCATAATTTCAGTTCCGCTACAAAAGCAAACGAGAGCAGGATAAAGCTTTGGACCGTTCCGATCCTTCCGACGAGGATGACAACAAGAAACCGGTTCAGGGACCATCTTCCGACAGTGACGTCCAGCGTCCACGCCGCTCTAACATAGTAAGGACATCTCAACTTTCCCTATTTCAATCGAGATTACCACTTTCTATTCGAGCGTTTTCAGAGAGTTCAGAGAATTGCCAAGTACCAAGAGCCAGTTGTCGAGCCCATTATTGGGGCGGAATTAAAGACCAAGACCCCGGTTGGAAAGGCCAAGGGATATGTCAACCCGACTTCCACGCTGAAGAAGGAGGCGGCCTGCTTTGACGATCGGGCTGCTACGTCTTTGGCTTGTAAGTTGGGAGAAAAAAAGTTGGTTGAAAAAGTCCGACAAAAAAGCCTTTTTAACAAAAGAGCAGTTTCCTCTCTGACTGTACCAATAACCGTATTTCAGTAGCCAAGTACGACGAGGAGTTCGCGGAGTACCTTCGCGATCCTTTGAATTTCGACAGGCGTTCGCCCGGGAGTGCCAAGAAACCGTCTTCGTCCAAGGTGCAGCCAAGAAAGAGCCGTAAGAGTTCGTCCAGCACGTCGGAGGCGGTCGACGTGAGTTCGAGCCAAAGGAAGACTGCAGGAAAATCTGGGCGTGCTTCTAGAAGCTCGTCTGATTCCACCGAATCTCGACGTCCGAAGAAGAGCCATAGACTGAGACAGGAGACGTTGATTGGCAAGTCAGCAAAGAAAAGAAAGGAAAAAGCCACTAGAGGTAAGTTGCACGAGCCTAAGAGCCGTAATACAGAAGTCTGACCTCCTAGATGGTTTATCTTAATGTAAATTAAATTAAAGTTCGATCCAAGAGTTCCTCGCACGATTCTTCGGCTTCTATCAAATCCCGCCGCCGGAAGAAAAGCCATGGACTGAAACAGTTGACGCTGATTGGGAAGCCAAGTGAGCCAAGGAAGCAAAAGAAAGCTAAAGGTGAGTTACAAGAGTCTGAGAGCTATTTAGAAGAATTTTACATCGAACCAGAAGTCAAAATCAATTTTGATGACATTCTTCCATTAAAAATTAATTTCAGACATCAACAACCTTGCTAGTGTTGTCAAACCGGCCAGACAAGGCCGTTCTCGAATTCGATCGAAACTCTCTCAACATGGTCTTCGTCACAGAAGATCCAAGTCCAACGCCTCTTCGACTACTTCCAAAAAACTGGCGACGAGAAAGAAGCACGGAAAGCCGAGTATGTACTCCAATTACAAAAAAATGCTCGAGATGCAATCCAAGTCCAGGAAGATCGAATCCAAGGTGAGGATTACGGGGATTAGTGTCATCTCAAAGTTGACCATACAGTGGGGGACCTGATCCAGTGGCAAAAAACGTACCATTTTGCATCCGGGAAGTATCAAAAATGTAGCAAAATGCTTCCCTCTCCAAGTGAAAAAAACTCTGATTTCAAAAGCGCGCCCACTCTTTTTGTGAGGTAAAGGGCGCGCCCTTCAAAACGAAGTTTTTTTTTTCACTTGGAAAGGAAAGCATTTTGCCACACTTTTGATTCTTCCCGGATGCAAAATGGCGTTTTTTCCACTGGATCAGGTTCCCTCACTGTATGTTGCATTCACAATTTCAATTACAGCTTGACAAAACTGCCAAAAAAAGTAGTACCAAATCTGCTCCGAAAAAATCTCGGAACGAGCCGCAGGTTAGAATAGATTTTCTTTCCTCCAAATAGTCCAAGTATAATTTAATTTTCTCTCATTTTTTTCATTTTCAGGCCGACGGTGGATTTGGCCGTTCATGCTTTGGACCAAGTCCTTCAGGCAAGAGGTCCACGAGAAGTCAAAGCAAATTGAGTACTACTGGGTCCAGTCTCGAGGAGGTTAGATCGTCTCGGTCGTCAAGCAGAAAGCCCTTGAGCCAAAGCAAGGTGAGACACCACGATATTTTTTGGCAAAAAATGCGTATTAAAAAATAATTTACAGTGACGGAGCTGACCCAGTTGCAAAAAACGTACTATTTTGCATCCGGAAAGCATCAAAAATGTGGCAAAATGCTTCCCTCTCCAAGTGAAAAAACTTCGTTTTGAAGGGCTCTTTACAAAAAGAGCGGGCGCGCTTTTAAAATCGTAGTTTTTTCGCTTGGAGAGGGAAGCATTTTGCCACATTTTTAACACTTCCCGGATGCAAAGTGGTACATTTTTTTGCCACTGGATCAGGTCCCCACTGTATCTCTAATTTTTTTGTTTTTAGAGCAAAGACGCTGGTGGATTTGGCCGCAAAACCTTTGGACCTTCTCCAGCTCGTCGCTCAAGCCGAGCTCGCTCCAGGAGTTCAACGACCGGATCGGACCGTCAACCCCAGCCAAGCGTTTCTAAGCAAGCCAAGACTTTGGTGGCTCAATGCGAGAAATGTGAGTTTATCCACGCCTGAAGACGTCTTAAAGTCAGTCCTCGACCAATTTAAGTCCAAAATCAATTTTTGAACTTACTACAGTGAGGGACCTGATCTAGTGGCAAAAAACATATAATTTTGCATCCGGGAAGAATCAAAAATATGGCAAAACACCTCCCTCTACAACTAAGAAAAACTCCGTTTTGATGGGCGCGCCTTTTCCTCAAACGCGCGCTTTTGAAATCGGAGTTTTTTCACTTGGAAAAGGAAGCATTTTTCCACATTGTTGATACTTCCCGGATGCAAAATGGCACGTTTTTGCCAATGAATCAGTTCCGCCACTGTATAATATCAAAACTTAATTTCTTGGTCGAAAAACCACTGCATATGTTTCTTTCTACTCCTGTTAGAAACTAATCACCATCAATTTTCAGTCGCTCTGTATGGTGGAAGTGGCCCCTATGAGAAGAAAAAGACCTTGAATTTGGTGGTCAAGTCGGGAGGTTCCTCTTATGTGGCCACGATTCTCATCAAGATCAAGTCGGACAAGCCCAACACCGACTTTAAGATTGGCGAATACTCTTTGAAGCCCTGATTCTCGAATATTTTCAGTGCATGAGTAAATTTTCGGACTGAGATTTCTTGATCTAATACTGGGCAGATTGGCCAACTTTGATGATAAATTTTTCCATTTGGAAGTAAAGTCTCGTCTGCAGAAAGCCCAACTTACATTTATAATCGAAGGCTTGATGCCTTTTGTCCCCATCTTCCTTCCTTTTCTCCTCTCTTTTCATCAACGCATCAGTCTTGAGCCATCCCAGTGTAATGTCAGTGTCATCCAGATCATAATCGATACACGTCCCATCCACAAAATAGACTTGAACGCTATAGGAATTGGGCTCGTTTTGCAGTTTATCCTCGTCTTCTTCGACCAATGCCAGGAATGGGAAGTCAATGTCTTTGAGGTATCTGTTGCCATCCAACGGAGGTAGATCGGTGTCGTATGAGTAAATATCATCGGCAAGGTAGAGCTTGTATAATTTCACCGACGGCTTCCTAAAAAATCGCAAATTATAAACCAATCCTTCAAAAAAATATATTGCACTTGACTCCTCAACTAATCTCTATAAAATGTATTATAAAAGCTCACGCTTCCGGTTTAAATCCATTCTGCTGGTATTTATAGAGCGACAGGCCCACAAAGTCTTTAATTTTCGCATCCGATTTGGCTTTGATATCCAAATAAGTGGGGATTCCATGTTGTTTCTCGCCAAAAGTGTAGATGACCTTGATCTTTTTTGAATCCGATGAGTTTGAGGCTTCGAACTGACTGAATTCGTCGAATGGACTTGACTCAATCTCCTTTGGGGGCTCTTCGGACATTAGTTTCGACAATAAGCTCGTATTGTGGGTGTGGATTTCGTCGAGGTTTGTTTCTTTGCGACTGAAAAGTTTGTCGACTTGTTCCTGGTCCAGGTGAGGTTTGACGACTTGTCTGAGGTCGTTGGTGCGTTTTATTCGTTTGCAGACCATCTGCTTGGCGTATTCACGGGTTCCTGAAAAGAATGGGAGGTTATTTTGATTAAATTTTCCAAAAAATTGGGTATATTGTACTAGGCAGAAGGTGTAAATGTTTGGCTTATTAAAAAACATATTCAAAGCTTTTCAATTTTTCTGAAATTTGAAATAGAAAAAGTTCAAGCCATTCTTATCTGACCTTCAAAATCTTAGGCCTAAATTTGCAAAACCCAATTAGATATAGACCATCAAAATCAAGGACATCTACCATACCAATGTGAAAAAATAAAGCCTCTCTTGATAAACAAAATACCCAAAATCACATTGCAAACCCCCTCAAAATCAAAGACGACCAACCTTCAAACACATCCCGGTTCTCGTCGAACTCCAACGCATCGATTTCATCAGGTTCATATTCAACTTTCACCCATTTCTCTTGTTCCCCTCCCTTATTCTGATATCCCCCTTCATGGAAGCTCTCATCAACCTCTTCATCGGACAATCGACTGTCGCTTTTGTCGCGTTTCAACTTCTCCGCATTCTGATCCTCACTCTGGCTGGGGACTTCGGCGGATCGCGAGCGCATATCCCTCTCCCTTCGCGGCAATTTGCCTTCAACCGGAAAAGCAACGGTCATGTTCTCTCCTCGTTGTCGGGAATCATTCTCGGTGCCATAACGCGAGTTGCGGACGGATTTTGGATGGATTCGACTGGGGAGACCGCCGGGTTTTTGACGACTAAACTATGGCCATGAATAATATCAAAAATTGCACAAACTACATAATTTTCGTTTTCAGACAAACAAATTACAGCACAGACAGACTTTTTATGCGTCATTAATCACGTAAAAAACAAAAAAACTCCAGATAAACAGCATTATTCTTTTCGAAAAAATCGAAGATCCATACTGTCCGAGGTCAAAGATCCCAAATCCAGCAAAAATAACAAAAGCCCCCGCACTCACTTTGACAACGGTCCTAAAATTGAGATTGCCACCGAGTCCTCCGGCTCCACCGCCAACTTGTACCGAATTTCGTCGAGAAGCTGCGCATTGTCCATGCCTACTCCAACATCAACCCGAGAAACCCTGAAAAACAAAAGATTAATGGACAATTAGAGGATACTGTTTATAAGACCACGTCAAATTTGTTTTTTCGAACCCGAAAAACGGAAAAGCACGGGAGAACCGTGAGAACGGAGAGAGAACGCTGGAAATCCAATAAAAACTCATGGATAATATGGAGAAGGACATAATAACAAGAATTTAAGACTTGTGATAAACAAAAACAATGTACAATACCACATCTTCCACTTTTCGGACAAGAAGAAAAATAAATTTTGCAAAAAAACAAAAATTAAAATTACGCGAGCTGCGCCCTGCCCATTTCCCACGCGCCTGTTTTAAATTATACGAAACAAAATTTATGCGAAGAATTTTGAAGACACCGGACAAAAAGTGTGTTGCAGTCTGGGAAAGGTCTCAGGTAAACAAAAAAAGCCGAAAAGGAGTCGTCTGCTCTGATAACACTTGCACGCCAAACTGGGGAGTCCGATGACCGGAATAGACACTTCGCTATCGTTTTTTTACACTTTGTCTTGATTTCACAGAGAAGTCAGAGAAAAAGACGCACAAAAACGTACTCTCTCGCCCCAAAAAATCCCCATTTCTTCCCCGACTAAAAGTTTTCTCGAGTTTTTTTGGCGAGTTGCCAACCTATTCACCGGACCGTCTTAGCCTGTCTCAGTTTGACGTGACTTGCTCTATTGATTAGAATCAAACGTTATTCATGAACACCAGATGTGTTGACAGTATGACCGAGGCCGGCCAACTGACTTATTGCGTGGGAAAGTAATCGAAAACACGTTTAGAGAACAGGTCGGATAATCTGAAGAAGAGGAAAGAGAGGGGAATTCGCCCAGTTTTGGATGTTGTTTTTCACTCTGCGAATGTTTTGAATGCCGGCTGAAAAACACGAAGAAACATGAAAAACAACGAAGGCCGGAGCGGTGTTTATGTGTGTGTGGATGTTTTTGGGTGTTTCTTTTTTTTTCTTGCGACTCTTCGAACCGTCCTCGAGGAGGACGGAGAGCTTCCGCCTTGGCTCTTATCAACACCCCCGGGCCTCCCTCTTCTGCATGAATGATTTTTAGACGCACAGTCTTCATAAGGCCACAATATTTTTGTTGATACTGCGCCAAGAAGGCGGCGTTGAAAAACAAGTGAGGCTTTAATCATCGGATTTTATGTCAACATTGCGAAACCCAAACCAAATATGAAAATTGAGAGCAAGAGTTTAATCAAATGTCATTTTCGTTTCACAGGGGAAGTACTCCAAGTGCGACGCTCAGATTTGGATGAAACTTGGCACAAGTTTAGAATAATTTTTTCTAAGATATATGCGAGAATCCTAGCTCGCGCTTTGCAGAAACAACTGAGATTTTTAGATCGAAAGTCGGCCAAAATTTAGGACCTTTTGCCGAATTTCAGCACGAAAATTTCATGCCCATTTCTACCGTAAAGAATAATGTTTCTATAAAAAATCAAATTTTTCCGCACGAAACTTCCAAAGTTATGGCCAAAAAGCGTTTTTCTCTCTGACCGCTCTCCATGTTTAGCGTGCTCTCTCGGCGGCAAAAATCGTTCGATATCTCGGCGGCGCCCGCAAAGCGCGAGCTAAAACTATCAGGAATTGATATTTAGTCCATATCCGACGGGTGTGTAAAATTTAAAGAAAATCTGAGCGTCGCACTTGGAGTACTTCCCTTGTCAATACAGATGCTCGAAAATTCGTCCTGGATTTTTGTTCACGTCTGGTATCCCTGTCTGACTGTTGACGCAGTCGTTTTTTGATTACAAACGACACAAACAAATCTGGTTTCGTAGCCGACAAACCTTTCGAAGACTACAGTAAGTTGTTCTACATCTGTAACTAACATTAGTTGTCGCTTGGATAACATGAAATATTTCACTTTTCAACCAAAGACCAAGTGAGAGTTGGTCGGAAACAAGTATCCTCGCAATTTATTTGAAAGCGCACAAATCTCGTATACTTGCTTATTCATACAACAACATGTTTACTGTTTTTGTTGCTTTGCTCCGGGGAAACTGTTAACACCGCAGAATTCACAAGTTTTCTCACAATCCTTCTTCATCAGCTTGAAATAGGACTAAAATACATTGTAATTAACGATATTCCAAATCAACATACTTCCACCGAGCACTGAGCTTTCTTTGCAGAACATTCCGTTAAACGGTCGGAGCACCCGGTTGCTGCCGGTGTGGTGGTTTGTTGCGCTGCTGTCGTCGAAACACATCCACAAGTTTGTGGACATAGAGAATTCATCAGTTTAACATACGCCTAAAGAATTGTAATAGGTTAAAGCAGCTGTTAAAGTGGAAGCGGAAAGTTCAGGCCTCTTACTGGAATTGAGCACAATTGGCTTTTCTGCTTACAGTCCGGCGCCTTATCAACTCCAGTACCGCACGCTGGAGTTGTTTGTTGTTGAGGCTGAGTAGGCTGCGGCGTTGTTGGGCATCCGCATGTCTTCGCACAAAGTTTTGCCATTAACCGAAGGTATGCCGGTTGACCACAGAGTTGACTCTTTTGTGGGCATTCGGCGACTTGATCAGCGCAATCGCCACTAGTTGGTGTCGTAGGAGTTGTTGGAGTAGTTGGGGTTGTAGGAGTTGTAGGGGTAGTTGGTGTTGTGGGCGTTGTGGGAGTTGTAGGAGTTGTCGGAGTAGTTGGAGTAGTGGGGGTACTTGGGGTTGTCGGAGTAGTCGGAGTTGTCGGTGTTGTAGGGGTAGTTGGTGTGGAAGGTGTCGTGGGCGTTGTGGGGGTTGTAGGAGTAGTTGGGGTGGTTGGAGTACTTGGGGTTGTTGGTGTCGTAGGCGTTGTTGGGGTAGTTGGGGTTGTTGGTGTTGTAGGAGTCGTAGGGGTAGTTGGTGTAGTCGGGGTAGTTGGTGTTGTCGGAGTAGTTGGAGTTGTCGGTGATGTGGGAGTTGTAGGAGTAGATGGGGTGGTTGGTGTGCTAGGCGTTGTAGGGGTAGTTGGGGTAGTTGGGGTGGTCGGTGTTGTTGGTATTGTGGTAGTCGTGGGAGTGGTTGGTGTGGTAGGTGTCGTGGGCGTTGTGGGAGTTGTAGGAGTACTTGGGGTTGTTGGAGTGGTGGGAGTCGTTGGAGTAGTCGGGGTACTTGGGGTTGTCGGTGTTGTGGGAGTAGTTGGTGTGCTAGGCGTTGTGGGAGTTGTAGGTGTTGTAGGGGTAGTTGGGGTGGTCGGTGTTGTGGGAGTAGTCGGGGTAGTTGGCGTTGTCGGAGTAGTTGGTGTGGTAGGTGTTGTGGGCATTGTGGGAGTCGTAGGAGTCGTTGGTGTAGTCGGGGTAGTTGGAGTTGTCGGTGTGGTGGGAGTAGTTGGGGTGCTCGGTGTGGTTGGTGTTGTTGGGGTCGTAGGTGTCGTGGGAGTTGTTTGTGTGGTAGGTGTGGTTGGTGTTGAGGGTGTAGTTGGCGTCGTAGGTGTAGTTGGAGTTGTCGGTGTTGTTGGCGTTGTGGGAGTCGTAGGAGTCGTGGGAGTTGTCGGTGTTGTAGGAGTAGTTGGTGTTGTTGGTGTCGTTGGCGTCGTGGGTGTAGTGGGAGTAGTTGGTGTGGTCGATGTTGTGAGGGCTGTGGAACTTGGACCTAAATTTACGCCTTGCTTGTCTTACTAGATCTTACAGCAAAAAGGCAAGCCACCGATCTTAACACACTCGGGGTTAGTGGATAGAAAGCATGAACCGGTCGGGCACGCTGAAATGAAGTAGTCTACACATCCTTTCGCTTACGAGTTCCAATTACACTTCCGTCAGGACAGAACTGGGCATAAAGCGGTGTAGGAAGGGTGCTAATGAATATTAATAAAAGGGCTACACTTTCGCCAGACATCGTTTGCGGCTTACACTTAATAGTGCGTTTTAACATAAGTGAAGTTCTGGAATTTTGAGTCTATTATTTATACAACGTTTGACCTATTGACTTCCTCAGATATGTCTTGTTCGGACGGTTGTCCAAACATGAACCATTTCTGCAATGTTTCTAAGCGTCATTGTTTTTTACAAATTCAGCGGGGATACAAACACATAATCTTCAAACAGTGACTTGTATTCTTTTTTTTTTAATTTTTATTATTTACAGGGGAAGTACTCCAAGTGCGAAGCTTTCCTTTAAATTTCGCACACACGTCGGGTATGGACTAAATATCAATTCCTAAAGGTTTTAGCTCACGCTTTGCGGGCGCCGCCGATATATCGAACGATTTTTGCCGCCGAGAGAGCACGCTAAACGTGGAGAGCGGTCAGAGAGAAAATCGCTTTTTGCCCATAACTTTGTGCGGAAAAGAAGCATTGTCCGTTACGGTTGAAATAGGCATGAAACTTTTCGTGCCGAAATTCATCAAAAAGTCCTAAATTTTCGCCGACTTTCAATCTTAAAAACTCGGTTGTTTCTGCAAAGCGCGAGCTAGGATTCCCGCATATATCTTAGAAAAATTATTCTAAATTTGTGCCAAGTTTCATCAAAATCTGAGCGTCGTACTTGGAGTACTTCCCCTGTTAGATTTCATGCACTTTTACGGTGTGTTTTATGAACTCTGCTCGAAATGGAAACTGTGAAAATCCCATCTATTTTCTCCTTGAAATTGTTACTCGAATGAAGTTCGGTTTCTTGGTCTGAGAACGCGGATGATTCCCCTGTGGCCACGCGCACAAGACTCGTCAGATTTATAGTAGTGGGCGTTTTTAAAAGTCTTAAAAAAACCGGCAGGGAAATGCCGAATTCTCAACTGATAACTCTTTTAAATAATCGCTCCTAAAAAGCTGTAAATATGCCCATCCGGTTCGGCAATGATTTATTGCTGTGTGGTGGGGGAGGGAAACATTGTTCCGGAAATGGACGCTGTTCTTTGGCTGTGAATCATTCATGTATAAGGGGGTTTTTGGGATACGTTACAAATTGTGTAACTTACAATTTGAACAACTTGTTTATTTTTTTGGAAATGCATCAACAGAATGTGTGATTCTGTGACTTACATTTGGATGACTAAAAACTAAGCATCACAATTTGCGTGAATGAAATTAATACCTTTCCCTGACGTTTTCAACCAGCTTAACCATCTTCAGACACCTTGAAAATGGAAAAGCCGCCATCCGAGCGCTACCGTAAAGCGCGCTGCGCAATGTTTGCTTAATCAAGGCAATTTTGTTCGGAGAAACTTCTTCTTGATATTCAATCTGCCCTTCTTTCCCTCAGGCTTCCGGAGGTCTGTCCGGCCCGTCTTCTTCGCAAAGCCAAAGAACGACAATAAAAGATTGCGCATCTCTTCTTCAGATTTCTCGAGGAGATATTTCGCACGGAGATTCGTGTACAAAAACTGCGAGTTTTATGGAGGATGTAAACAAGCCATGAACTGAAGTTTGGCACACTGGTAAGGATTTTGTAGTCGTTGTTGCATTTTTTGTTTTTTGATATCCTATTTACAGGGGAAGTACCCCAAGTGCGAGGCTCAGATTTTGATGAAACTTGGCGTAAATTTAGAATAATTTTTTGTAAGATATATGCGAGAATCCTAGCTCGCGCTTTGCAGAAACAACCGAGTTTTTAGATCGAAAGTCGGCCAAAATTTAGGACTTTTTGCCGAATTTCGGCACGAAAAGTTTCATGCCTATTTCTATCGTAAAGAATAATGTTTCTACAAAAAATCAAATTTTTCCGCACGAAACTGCCAAAGTTATGGCGAAAAAGCGCTTTTCTCTCTGACCGCTCTCCACGTTTAGCCTGCTCTCTCGGCGGCAAAAATCGTTCGATATCTCGGCGGCGCCCGCAAAGCGCGAGCTAAAACTTTTAGGAATTGATATTTAGTCCATTCCCGAAGTGTGCAAAATTTAAAGAAAATTTGAGCGTCGCACTTGGAGTACTTCCCCTGTTAGTATAAAAAAAACATCCCTTTTATTACCTGAATTATAGCGTAATAGGGAGCGCCCACGGTCAACTGGACTGCTTTTATAAAACAGACTAAAAATAGGGCCTCCCCTTTATGACATCCATAGAAAAATCCGACGTTCTCATTTCCATTCCATTATGACCTTATGCACTTGAGTGCATTCTTTTTTTGCGCACTCAAGGAAATGTGATAAAGCCGTCAGGCCAAATCACATCCTGTCCTCGTCCGTTGAGGGCATACAAGTGGGTGGACATTGAGAATTAACTCAATTTCCCCTCAAAAAAAATAGAATAAACCGAGGTAAAAGACTGTTTTGCCCTGCTTAGTTTATGCTGTTCTGGAGTCTATCATGAATGTATAATATATGATGTTTTTGTTGTCATGCTTTTCCCACGCAGAAAAAGTAAGATGAAATTAAATTGAGTGAATAGAGGGAGCTTTGATTGTACTCGGCTTCTGTGTTATGCAATTTATAGTTTTATACGGAAAATATAATATTTGGTGTTCCACTTTTTCGTTTTATTTCGGTTTATTTTGTAGTATTTTTTGCAAGCAACTGGGACGACCAGTTCCTTTGGGGAAACCAAAAAATATTCTTTTTCTTCGATGCAAATATCGAAATTAGAATAATCGAGGGTGCGTAGTACCCTTCATAGCCACGTTTTAAGACTTGGTGCTATTTAGTACATCCATGTAGTACGAGGTGAAAATAGGAGGACTAACCACCATGACAACATTACTAACAAAGTTGTAGCACCTAAAGGCCAAGTTGTAACACCTAAAGGCCAAATTTAGACCTCGGTAAATATAGTATCAGATAGTACTGTTTAGTACTAAAGGAAAAGTTAACATTACTTTCGAAACCAGCACCCTCGAAACCCCCTGAATTCAGTATTTTTGGAAATTTTCAAGAAGTTATTTTTTTACACTACTACTTAAGGAAAACAAGTAAAGTTCAGAAAAAAGTAACATTATTTTTGAAATCAGCACCCTCGAAAACCCCTAAATCGAGTATTTTTGAAAAAAAATCCGAATTTACTACTTTACAGTACTACTTAAGGAACAAGTAACAATCAAACAAACGAATGTCATTTTCGAAATCAGCACCCTCGATTATCCTAATTTCGATATTTGTATTGAAGAAAAATATTATTTTTCGGTTTCCCCATTCGTCCAACTCCGTTCTTGCAATGACCGAGATTTTGTCCCGTTGTGACGTCTAATTCCCAGCGCTTGAACTCTTGATAACCGTCGAGACAATGTGGTCTCGGACGAATCTTCAAACGCGTTTGTCGCGGCTTCTGTTTTTTGTTTTTATCTGTTCGAAGTATTGAAATTCTTCAAAGGGGATGTCCCCACTTCAAGTCGACTACTTGAAGGATGAAGAGGAAGTTATGGTAAATTCCTTCATGGCGGCGTTTAGCAAAAGGAGGAGCGTCGTTTTTTCCGAACATTATTCAATTAAACGACCCTCAAAGAGCTTGACTGAGACTTGACTAGCCAGTTTTCGCTCGAGTACGGCCCGCTCTATGATGTCTTCGCTTTCAGAGATGATCATCCGAATATGGGTACAGGCGTGCTTACTCACCGCGATCCTCTTGTTTCCCCTGCGCAGCATTGGTCTGCAAAACGACCTGGTCATGGGTACTGTGACCGGGGCCCGTTCACGGAACACATCATTGCGAACAGCTGCGGCGAATTTGAATTTCGAATCGGACTCGTTTCCCTGCGATTACTGCGATCTGGAGACGTGTACGGCGAGGAAACGGACGTCCAGATCGTCGGGGCGTGAAGTTTTTTGTTTTTCAAAGAGGAGTGTTAATGAGGGTAAGTTGCGATCTCAAATCAGCAATAAATACAGTTCATAGTGACCATTTTTACATAATATTACATCTTTCAGACGAAAACGCTGAGCCAACATCGACCTGCATAACGGATGAGGCCGAATTGAGATATCTAGTGCTAGCAGAGCGACTGAAGGACAGTAATACTTGCCAGCCAGCAAAAGAGGATCCTAATCTCAGGATATGCTGGTGTAAGGAGTCTCTTCGAAGGAGGTAAGCGAGTGGATCTTTTGCTCATTAAACACATGTTTTGCGGAATTTTCACGAATCATTTTAGCCTATCGCGTGTGGAGCAGTTGCAAGAACGAAGCCGGCTTCGTTTCGCCACGGGAACCAAAGGTGGCATCAAGTTGGTGCATTATCAAAGCGTGGATCAAAAACAAGTCACACAGAACTACGAAAACATTGTAAAGGTGCGATTACCATCTTGAAAAAAGAATTTTCTCTTGTTAAAAATTATGATGACTAAAATTGCAGTCCCCGCAAACCCTGCGGCAAGGTCCTCGAGTTCAAGCCTCCGGCCTTCAACGCTCCGGTTCCACGGTTCCGCCGACCCCTCAGGACTTCCATTCAAGGCATAAAATAGCCTCGACTCATGGTGGAATCGCCGGTCGACCGACCAACCCCCGCAGGCCATCTTCAAGTCCATTTACGGACTCGGCTAGCCTAAGCCGGCCAAGTGTTGTGGCTCTATCATCAGTGATGATTATTTATTATCTTAGGCTGTTATAGTGATAACTGAGACTGTAATATTGAATACAGGTAACTATTAAATATATAGATTGATCTCTTGATATTATTTATATTATTAACTTTTCGACAAATTTGCATTGCAAAATGTTTAATAAACGTATTATGAATTTATAAAAAACAAATTGAGGCATTTTTTGAACGTCAACTTACACCTTGCTTGTCCAGATGACTCTAGAATTTTGTTCATCCCTAAAACTCACAAAAATCAAGCGCAAAAAACTCAGCGAACGTCAAGAACTTTGTTATAACATCCAGCTGTTCAAATAGGAACTTTTGAATCCCCTCTCAGCCGACAGAAGCCTCATCCTGCACATGAATTTTCAATGAATTTTTTTTTCAATAATTTCTCTATTTTCCTCTTGAACTTTGTAATTCTTCAAACTATCCAAACAACAACTCGACCACCAATATGCAAGGACAAGTTGAAGTTGTGAGTTTTTTTTTTGACTTCTCAAACATTCAAAATTTAATTTTATGAAAAGAAAAAAGTTGAAGCGTTCAACGGAAATTGCATTTTCTTTGTTTCCAGATGCCCGATGTACGCTCAGCGCGGATTTTGCGAAAGCACGTACTACTCGCTGCGGCAGCGTGCGGAGTTTTGCGCCAAGAGCTGTGGGCATTGCAAGGAGCCAGAATGAGTCCGCTGCTATTTTCAAGCTGATCGATTATAAAGACCTTGATTAAGTCAACAATTTTGTACAACCTTTCTTATAAACAGAGATTGCCACGGTCAAAATTTCAGCTCCGGCTCTTAGCTCCCAGAGCCGGAGTCTGGGAGCTAAGAGCCGGAGCCGAGACCAAATTTGCAGCTCTGGCTCCGGTTCCCGGCTCCCATGAAAAATTTAAAAAGGTCTCCGGCTCCGAATCCCGGCTCCCATGCAAAAATTTTTTTAAAAATATTTTTCCAAAAATAAAAGTTATTAGTGCCAGAGATCATACACCCAACGTTTTTGCTGCCAATTCGTATGTGACACATCTTCCCAAGTATTTTTCAAGCAATTTGGTATAACAAGATCATGAAATTTTTACTTTTCTGAACGCTGAGAAGTCTGGCTCCGAAATTGGGCTCGGGAGCCGGAGCCGCGGCCAAAATTTCAGCCGCTCAGAGCCGGAGCCAAGAGCCGGCTCCGGAGCCGTGGCAATCTCTGCTTATAAACAAAGATATTGAGAGTTTGAAACATTTTTAGTGTGATTAAAGCCATCTTCAACTCATGCTCTGAACGTTTTAGCTCACACTTTTAGCTGTCGAAAATTGGATGACCTTCTTTGTGCATGATTAAGCAAAAGAAAGAGGCTTGGCCAGGCCGAAGACGGTTTTGCAACTTTATCATCTTGCAATTGATAACTGCTTTCGCTGTCTGCAATATCAGAGCCAAAACCCCGAAAAAAAGCTATTAAAATATATAGATTTTATCATCAAAAAAAATTGCACAGTGACCCCCCTGATCACGTGGGAAAAAAGCGCCATTTAGCATCCGGGAGGTATCAAAAAATGTATCAAAATGCATTTTTTGATACATTTTTTGAAATGTCTTAGTTTGTGGACCAAATGGGTGTGGAAAGTCGTCCCTATTCCGAATTCTCGGTGAATTATGGCCTCTTTGGGGAGGAAAACTTGCAAAACCCGAGTGTGGAAAGCTGTTTTATGTCCCACAGGTAAGAGAGGCAACGAGATAGAAGCGTTTTATGCCACTATCATTCTACAGTGACGGACCTGCTCCAGTGGGAAAAAAGCGCCATTTAGTATCAGGGAAGTATCAAAAAATGTGGCAAAATGCCTCCCTCTCCAAGTGAAAAAACTCCCATTTCAAAAGCGCGCCCGCTCTTTTTGTGAGGAGCCCTTCAAAACGAAGTTTTTTCACGTGGAGAAGGAAGCATTTTGCCACATTTTTGACGCTTCCCTGATGCAAAATGGTTAGTTTTTTGCCATTGGATTATGTCCGCTGTAGTATACATACATAATACGTACATATATGTATACATTTTTTTCGGATGAGAGAGTTCCCCGGCTTTTCTTGTAACTCCTATAATCGTCATTTCTCTTGATCTCCTTGATTCTTTCTTCATCGCTGAGACTGATCTTTATCCACAATTCACATTTATAAAAAACAGCTTTATCCTCAAATCCCCCGCCGACCTTGGTACCACTCCACCCTTCGTTCCAAGCCCCCAAAAATCCAGCTCAATTTCTCAACTAGCACGTGAAATACCAAGCTCAGAGGATCCACATCGAAAGTATAACTTCCAGTATATTTGCAAAGCTTCCATTGGAGCGTCCATCTAATCCCATTTGATTCAAATAAATCCAATCAAATCCGATTTCTTCGTTGCGGCGAATAAATTTCTTTTCTCCTTTTGTTGCGCAACACTCCCCCAAAGCGTCATCACGGTGGGGGGAAAGGAGTAATGTAAAGGTTACTTTCACCTCGACTTTGATTAGATTCTCCGGTTCGGTAAGGGGTTTGATGTCGTAAAGCGTTTAATTGCAACTCCTGAGGTGTTTTTGGTGGGTTATGGGTATTTTGGGTGCATTTCTGAGGGTATTTTAGGGGTTCGGAAAGGTTAACAATAAAATGTGCGGGCACGGAATTAGGAAAAATGCAGCTGCTATATTTTTATGGCTCTTGTATTATTCGCTAATCATCGCGATTGCGAAATCGACTTTTACAGAAGGAAAATGCGACTTTTTTGCCTGATTTTCAGGGTCACAAAAAATTGCTCAATGCACACTCTGATTAACCTCAAATATCTTGTACCTGCTCAAAATAGCCTACAAATAAACTATTAAAATTATAAGTCCACAATTTGTAGGCTATGCCGAGATGCATCTTATTGAGCATCTTTTTTCGCGCGAAAAAGGAAAATAAAGAAAGAGTGTGAAGAAATCCGAATTTTTGCAAAGATTTTCTCTAAAATCCCGACTGTTTCCGCAAGAGACCAAAAAATTTTTTATGTCAGAAAGTATTTAGTAGCCTCTCATACACAAACTTTTACTTGCAGTACAGTGGGGGACCTGATCCAGTGGCAAAAAACGTACCATTTTGCATCCGGGAAGTAACAAAAATCTGGCAAAATACTTCCCTCTCCAAGTGAACAAACTTCGTTTGAAGCCTTCCTCACAAAAAGATCGGGCGCGTTTTTGAAATCGGAGTTTTTTAGAGGCATTTTGTCACATTTTTGATACTTTCCGCATTTTGCCACATTTTTGATACTTTCCGGATGCAAAATGGTACGTTTTTTGCCACCGAATCAGGTCTCCTACTGTACCTACAAATCACCATATCAGAGGCACTAAGGCCCCTTGAAATTCAACTCCCTGTCAAATTCAATACCGTCTCTTCTCTCTCCGCATTTCTGATCCGTTATTACACAACGTCCTCGCGGTCGAATTTAACTTTTTTATGATGTAGAAACCGGTGCCGCTGTAATAAATGAGGTGGAATGGAGCGGGGCCGGTTATGCGATCGCTTGTTTTATTTTTCCAATTAATTTCGGCATATGAGATTCCATCAAATATTCCTGAGGATTTAAATGTGTCTGGAAACGGCGTTGCGATTCGGCTTGGCTTTAATGGCGTCATCGGTGTGCAATCTTGGAATGGGAAGGGGATTTAGAGAGGTTTTGAGGAGGACATTCAGAATGTTTGTTGTGTTTGACAATGTAGCAGTAAGGTTGATTTATTGTTAGTAGGGAGTTATTGCATGCCTGGGAAAATCAAATTTAAATACCATAACTGAACGTTCTATTTTGTTATGTTTTAACTAAAAAAAAAGATACAGAGGGGACCTGGGGGACGCCCAGTGGCAAAAACCGTACCACTTTGCATCCAAGAAGCTTCAAAAAATATGGCAAAATACCTCCCTCTCCAAGTAAAAAAAACTCCGGTTTCAAAAGCGCGCCTGCTCTTTTTGTGAGGGAAATTCAAAACTCTTTTTGGACGCGCCCATCAAAACAAAGTTTTTTCACTCGGAGAGGGAGGCATTTTGCTACATTTTTTGATACTTTCCGGATGAGAAATGATACATTTTTGCCAATGGATCAGGTCCTTCACTGTGGTTTTCTTATGGAACATGGAAATTTCAATTCTAAGGTTACCATGAGACGGGGCACAAATTAAGACTTCTTTTTGCCATTGATGTATTTACCAAAGTTTGAAGAAATTTCCGAAATAAGCACGTAAAAACTGAACAAGACTTTTTCGCAAAAATTCGACTTGAAAAGCTCAAGGTTTTGAACACAGAAGCTGGACAAACTTTGGCCAAGAAATCACTTTTTTTCGAGCACAATTCAAAGGTCTGCTGACAAAATCGGCCGCCCGACTTTCCTCATTTTCCGTAATCTCTTACAAAAAGATAGCTGTTTAGTAATCTGCGCTTACCAATATTTCCAGCGATCAATAGTCATCCTCTTAGAAACATGCAAAATTTGGGGAACGATCAAGGACCCTTGCTTGTGTTAGAGCTTTAACCTTCCTTTGTCAAAAATTTCAAACATCTCCGATTAGCATTTACAGAGCTTCTTTTGCCAATAATTTTGTAAAACTACCGTATTCTTTTCGTTCATTGGCCGAACAAACGCCTCTTCAGAGATCACTAAAAGTCAAAAAAACTGTTCTTTACACCCAATGACACTAAAATTTGATGAGATTCTCTCTGGAATTACTGTTCTACGGCCTGTTAGCTACACTATGACTAACAGCATTTTCGGTCAACAAACAACTTTTTCAGCCTCTATTCTCGTTGTATTCCCCCATGTTTTGGTCGAAACCAGCTTATGGTTGCTTAACCCAGTTCTCGACCCGATCTTCGACCATCCGTATCTTCTTCCCAATGCCATTTCTCCGAAACCGCCATGCCTTCCTTTATTCACCGATACGATGGAAACGCCGCCGCAACCATTGAAGATACGTTGCCGACGAATGGCTCTCTGTAAAAGATCACCGGGGATCTCCGGCATTCCGCTTTGCATACGGCATTTCG